CTCAACGGCCCCGAGCCGGGGCTGCCCTCATTGCATACATAGTGCGCCTTTCCCTGCTTTTCTAGTGACCTAGCGTTCCGCACTGCCGTTTGGCCAGCCCATGCTCCCGTACCGTTGCGTTTCTCCCCAATGCGCCATGCCACTTTGCCAGTCATACACACGTTTCGATGCGTGCCCTGTCAGCTGCTTGCGTTGCATGTCGCCTTGCTCCACCCCTGTTTTATTGCTTTCTCTGCTTTCGCCCGGTTCCCGTCCCGTTTCGGCGGGGAGTCTATGTTGCAAGCTAGTTCTTGCTTTACCAGACTTTAAGCCCACACAAGCAAGGGTTCGCGGCTTGGCTTGGGCCTGATCAGCGATATTGCTAGAGAAGAAACCCTAGCTCAAAGTGATATGGTGGCACACATACTGCATTCCAAGCCACGTGCAGCAGGACATGCAAAGTCTGTGCAGCAAGCATGTTCTTGGGCAGCAGCACCCCTGTAGCCTCGGGCGACGCAGGCGGGGGATGGGCCGACGCGATCGACCGCCCCATCGGTCCACGCACCTTAATTAGGGAAGTGACGCGCAGGGCGGGGGCTGGGTTGCCGCACAGCAGGCACAACCAGTTGAGTACCCTAGTAGGGCATGCGCTGTGCGGCTGCGCAGTTGGCTGCAGCAGTCGACAAACTTCGAGGACGTGCCGAAAAGGTTCCGAAAGCAGCAGGAAATTTTGGGCGGATGGGCCAGGGTTCTGCTGTTCCCGGTACACTGTGTCGGTACGCCCTCAATTCACTCACAAGCAGCGGCTTCATTGATGGGAGGCTTCAAAGAGGAAACCTATTCAGGTGCGATAAGCAAGAGGGGGGGACGCGATGTTTTTGCATCTCGCCCACACACAACCTCATCTCACAGGGACTCCCTGAATTTCAATACTCTGGTCCAGGAGCTGACCCTGTGCGGTGGGTGCAAGGGGGCAGGGCCGAGGGAGGGCAAGATGGTGGTGGCGGCATGGCGGGGGCGGGAAACCTCGCAGGCACAAAACGCAACGTTGCTTGCCGCACAATCACCTTGGCTGCCTGATTCCCATGTTGTTGCAGAGCGGCAAGGAGAGAACAGGGCACTCCTCCCGCTCACCCCTCCCTTGGCGGTGGCATACCTACATCGCGGCAGGCGGGCGACAGAAGCGGCATGCCATCCCCCGACCAGCCGCTCTGTGCCGGCGGCGTGGCGCAGTGCACCATATGTTTGGAGGAGCTGGGGGAGGGCACGGTGTCGCTGGGCTGCGGCCACCTGCTGCACGCCATCTGCGTGCTGACAGCACCTCCCACCATCCTCCAGACCTGCCCACTGTGCCGCCGCGCCATCGCCCGCGACCGCATACGCGCTGCCAGCGCCATGCCTGGAGCGGCGGCAAGCGGGGGAGTGGGCTACCGCACCTATGCGCAGTGCTCGGCGCAACCTGTGCCAGCATTCGGCGCTGGTGCAGCCCCAGGTTTCGACTTTGGGAGTACTACAGCCCCAGCTTTCGCCTTTGGGATTACTTCAGCCCAAGCTTTTGGCGCTGGTGCAGGCCCAGCTTTCGGGACTCTTTCACGCCAAGGAATGCCCTTTGGTGCCTTTGGCCCAGATCGACGCGGCGATGCACACGTCCCACCTGCATTTGGTGGCGCATCATTCGAAGCCGCCTCGCCCGGCCCCAGCATGACACCATCCAGGCGTTCTATGCGGGGTGGTGGCGACCAAACTCAAGATCTGATGAATACCCCGCCCGACCCCGCTGATCTTCAGCAGCTCATCGACCACATCATGCGGCACGTGGGCGGTGCTGGCGTGCCCTCCGCCCCAGCCCTGCCCCAGCCCCAGCTGCAGGCACACAACAACTGGGCCTTTTGCATCGACATTTCGAATAGGCACAAAGAAATACACAGCTGTTGGCACTGCTCAACTGCCTTGAACATCCTCTTGTCCTAGTTCTGACCCCGCCCTTTCTGCAGGTCCTGACACCGCTTGTCCTTCTCAGGCTCGATGGGCAGCAGCCCCGGCTGGCACCCCTCTGCCTGCTCCCGCATCTGCTTTGCGCTGGCCACGCTCGTGTGCATGGTGGATGCGCATGCTGCTGTTGGTGACCATGTAATGGTTGCAGCGTTTGCTGCCTCCATGGGCACCATCAAGAGCTGGTTCCTCAAGCCAGGCAAGTCAGTGGGGGCTCGCTTGGACGCTGGTTGTCTTGGCCTGCAGCACTTGACCTCCCCCCTCCCCCCCCCCCCCCCTTGCCCCCCTTTCACCGCTCGCCACCCGTTGGTCGTCCTTTTGCACGCAGATCCATTTGACAAAGTTGCGTTACTGTTGGAGCTGTGCGACTCCCTGAGGACATCAGGGCTGCAACGCGACGGCACAAGGTTGTGCAGTGCTGTCTATGAGGCAGCAGTATCGGAGCTGGGTTTGCAGGCCCAGCAGACCGCTGGCGCTATTGCCGCCCCGCCGTAGTCAGGTGCAGCACAGCTGCACTCGCTCGTGCTGCTGACGGACGGTGAGGCCACAGACGAATCGGCCTGTTTTGCCCGGGCGCATGACGTGATGAAGAACCCCCCTTTCCCTGACGGCGGCCTCAAGGCCCTGCTCGTGAGTGCTGCCTGCCTTGCCTCAAGGCTGACGACCGATCTACTGGCCACGCGTGCATTCTGGTTGCTGCCACAAGCCACACATTATCCTTTCCTCTGCCGCCCACATTTCCCACCGCAGATGCACATTGACAGCGACCGTGCAATCGCCAGCTGCCTGCGCCGCCTGTCGTGCGACGACACAGGCACCCCCCTGAGCCACGTCGAGCTGCTGGAGCAGCAGCTGCCGGCGCGCCTCGACGTGGCCGCCGGCCCCGCGTCGGCTGACTGGCAGGCGCTGCAGCACATGAGCCATGCATCCACTCCTTTGGTGACACGCCGGCATCAGCACCAAGAGCCAGGAGGCACTGAACGTTGAAGTCAAGCAAGCATGTGCTTGCAACTTGAGACAACTGATGTGTATGACACGTCTGCTGTCGAGGAATGCATTCATTAGCACGGGAATGCAGCAGCACCGCACCTGGCTTGCTTATGCCCGTCACTGACACCAGTGTACTAGCTGCCCCGTGGTCCCTGAGGCTGACGTGCTTCTCAGCTGTGCCGGTAAGAGTCGTTCGCGCCTGCGACCAACCCCATGGGCCTCTGCTGGCGGCACTGGCGGCACTGGCGGCAGCCCCAGTTCAGCCTGCGCCAGAGGCCAGCGCTGGTGTTGCGGTCTGCCCCAGACCTACTTAGGATACAAAAACGAACAAGGCATGCGAGGGAGGACGCACCAAGACGCCAAAGCAGGAGTGTTTTCCTGGTCTTAGGTTAGAATGCCGGACAGACACTTGCAGACTGGTTCTCAATGATGAGGCGGTGAAATTTCGCCTGTTTCACGGATCGTGCGACTCGCCGTACATGCGCGATACACATGCGGCTGCGCCGAAATCGGCACGCCAAGGTGCTGTCGTGTTCTCCATTATGTTCCAATTCGCCCGCCAGCTCCTCTGTCCCGCTCCATCAGTCCTCAAAATATGCTGCCTCTCCACACCTGCCGCGGCCGTCATGCCCAGCAGAAGAGTGGCAGGCATGCAGTAGCCGGCCCAAGCTATCGAGCCGCCGCCAACCAGCAGCAGCGGCAGCGGTGCGGCCATGACGCACAAACCGCCGCTCAACGGCAGCAGCGGCGGCAGCAGGCCGCACCTGTCGTCGCCGCGCAGTCACCACAACAGACGGCTCTCGCCACAGGCTGTCGCGTTGCTGGGACTCGTGCTGGCAGGCAGTGTGTGGGCGCTGCATCGCAACTGTTCAGATGTAGGGGCGGGGGCAGCGGCAGCAGACGCCTCTGGAGCGGAGCAGCAATACAACCTGCAGCGAGTGGATGAGCCGCCGCGCACGCTGAAGGCGCTGCCACGCAGCTCCCACAAGGCAGGTTCTGGTGGTGGCGGGGGCTGCGCCACCCGCCGGGGCTGATGTCGGGACATCTGCACTTGCTGCACTGCCAGACATGTCCCAGGCCGGCTATGCCTGCACACGACATCGGGCTGGGAGTCATTTGCTGCCTGCCTGCTTGCCTGCCTGCCTGAGCAGGCCTGTTGCAGGGTTGTGGAGTGTGTGGCACCAGGGCTGCTTGCTGGCCCTCCTGGAATATTGATTCACGTCAGTATGTGCGTCGGGTGAGTACAGTCACCAGCGCTGACCGCCGCCATCCACACCGCCGGCCGCACAGCTGCTGCCGCCAGCGCCGCCTGCATGAGAGGCCGCGCCGACATCAAAGCCGCCAGTGAGTCTTTGGTGCAGCTGAGAGATGCGCCAGCCTCGCAGTCAGATGATCAGCTAGTAGGGAGTTGCACTGCTTATCAGCGGCACCGGCGCAGCTCGATATCACGACAAGACGCTCAGGACAGCTGCAACCTTGGTGCAGCATCAATGCCGCCACTTGCCTGCAGCATTACGGCTGCTGTCCATACGACTGACACGCCGTGGCTGAAGCAGCGTGAAGGCGGCGTTGGAGGAGCAGGCTGTGCACAGACCTTGAGGCTGTTCATCGCACCTTTGGGCGTTGGTCGCACCTGTGTACGAGCCTGTGAACTGGTCTGAATGACTAGCCCTGCTGCACTATTTGCATGCGCCGACTGAGTTGGTGTTTTGGCTTGGTAATGCAGGCCCGCCCGCAGCGTTTGGTGGCAGGGCAAGCGCATGAAGGCGTGCCAAATGTGCCTGGGAAACACAGGCATGTTTTGATGGCTCATGCACGTCCTTGGCGTTGGATGATGAGAGCCAACACCTCCCTGCCTGTCCCTGCTGTGCAGTGGTGGTATAGCTGGCATGGGTTACATCAGCTGAGGGCAGCAGACAGCACATCTCATCACGTTCTCTGCTGCTGCTGCTGCTCGCGGTAGGCGGTCGTCGGGACACAGAGTCAGTCTGCCGTGCTGATCAACAGGAAGGCTTACCGCGTTGCGCATGTGGCCCGGGCAGGGGAGAGCTGGTGGCAGGGCTGGTGCCTGGTGCCAGCAGGCTTCCGACGTCGCGCCATCAGAACGTTTTGGCGACGCTCGTCGACAAAATGACTGCTTTGCCGCAGCTGGACTTCTGCTGATGTGTGGCCATGCCCTCGCCCATTACAGCCCGATGCTTCTGAATCATCTCCCCCTGCGCCCCCTGCACTGCCAGCTATTACATCGTGACCGTCTCTAACTGGTCTTCTTGCAGGACCAGACCGCGACAGAAGACCAAGCAGGCATACGAGTCCGCCAAGGGAGACCTCAGGTTGGCAGTTGTTCAACCATTGGCCTGGGGACAGCTGATGGGGCTAGCCAGCGGGGGTGGATGAAACATGCCACATGGTGCAGTCTGGCACATCTACATCTCATGCTAACCGACAAAACATCCCTTCCACATCCCCCTCTCTTGCAGCGAGTCCGCCCAGCAGGTGAAGGATCGTGTGGGCAGCGCCGCTGAGGACGCCAAGGACCGGCTGAACGACTTTGCCGAGGACCGCCAGGAGAAGCTCGGCGATGCCAAGGAGAAGGTCGGCGACGCCCTGTCCAGCGCAGGCGACTCTGCAAAGGTGGGCAGGAATGGTTTGCTGCTGCGGTTGTGTACTGCAGCAACCAATGCCAAGGATGGTGTGTGTGCTGCTCAATCAAGCGAGCAATGGTGGCGAACTTCCTAGCCTCATCTGCTACTCTTGCCCATCCCGTCCAGCAGGACACTTACGAGAGTGGCAAGGAGAAGGCCGGCAGTGTGGCAGACACAGTGGCGGAGAAGGCAAACGCCGCTGGCAACGCTGTGAAGGTGGGCTGCGCAGCATCCCAACTGTTTAAAGCTCTCTGCTCATTGTCCTCCAGAACGATGCGCAAGCAGCTCAATGCTGCAGAGTAGACCTGAATTCACAGCCTGCTATCTGAATCGGTACATGCGCCACTGCATCTTGTCGTGCCGTCCCCTCTCTCCCCTGCTGGCAATGTGCAGGAGACCTGTGAGAGCGGCAAGGAGAAGGCCAGCGATCTTGCCGGCCAAGTGGTGGACAAAGTGAAGGATGCCGGCCACGGTGCCAAGGTGCGTGCTAGCTGTCCCTCCTGGCTCTATGCAACGAAAATTGCACACGGTTCAAAGACTTGGCAGAGTCCATGCTGGTCACGAGCCGAACTGCCTGCAGGTTGTAAGCATGTCCCAGAAGGCCTTTGGGGCCCTGAAGAGAGCTGAAGAGCGACTCAATCGACGAGTGATTCAGCCACGAAGGGAACGAACCCGCGTACACAGCTTGACAGTCGGCACATGGTTGGCTGCCAGGTTCATTTCCATGCATGATACGAAGCAGCACCGGCGACCTTACATCTGCGCGCATGCATGGTATGCCCAAAAGCCGCTGCACCCTCCTGTAAACTAGATCCCTCTGTTCAATGGTTGTGAGGCTGCCCATTGATGTCTGAGTGCCATCTGGTCGGTGGTGCAGCAGCCTGCTGTGCCCAGTGGCTTGCACCTGCGTTTGCTGCCGACCGTCCGCCGCCACCGGCCCATGAGCGAGCTGCAGCAGGGGCAGCGCCTGCCGCCACTGAATGGATACCGCCTGCTGGTTGCATCTCTGCAATAATGATCTTTGGAGGAGGCTGGTTGCTTTGAGGCAGCAGCGGGCTGAATCGGCAGCAAGAGGCAAGCGGTGCAAGTGACGGTGCAAGTGACGGAGATAAGTCGTCCATACATGATTGCATCAGTGAAGGAAAAGGCAGAACAAACCCTTGAGCAACTTTTCTTGAGCCATTGTTTCTACCCATCGAACCCGCAGCTTGCAACTCGTCACCTTCCCTGCTGGGCCGCTGCCTACCTACCTCTTGCGAGCGTCTGCCTAGAGATGTCGCCACCAAAAATCGCTGCCCGATCCCTGCTGCGGCACAAGTAACAACAGTTTGTTGAAGACAGCAGCACTGCACCACTGGATGACAGCGACAGCCCTGGTTGTCCAAAAGGGACAGGTGGTTCCGCCTGGGCTGGGGCGGGGTGGTCGATTCGCTGCTGCGGCAGAGATGGCCACATGTTGTGTGACCAGTGAACTAGCTGCCCCGAGGTCGACATGCTTCTCAGCTGTGCCGAAAAGAGTCGTTCGCACCTGCGAATAACGCCACGCGCGGTTGCTGGCGGCACTGGCGGCAGCCGCCCTAAGCCTGCGCCGGAGGCCAGAGCTGGTGTTGCGGTCTGCCCCAGACCTACTAGGGATACAAAAACGAACAAGACATGCGAGGGAGGACGCACCAAGCGGCCAAAGCAGGAGTGTTTTCCTGGTCTTAGGTTAGAATGACACACAGACACTTGCAGATTGGTTCTCAATGCCGGGGCGGTGGAAATTCCCCTGGTTCAGCCAGATCGCTTCCAGCCGTGCATGCGCGGTACAATTTCGGCGCCCTTGAGAATCCGCCGTCCCAGAGATGGTTGCTGTCGTGTTCTGCATTCTGTTATAGTTCCACCGCACCTTCTGCCGCCCCGCTCCACTGTCCTCAAAATGCCTGCCTCTCCACACCTACCGCGGCTGTCTTGCCCAGCAGAAGAGTGGCAGGCATGCAGTAGCCGGCCCGAGCTATTGATCCGCCGCCAACCAGCAGCGGCGGCAGCGGCGCGGCCATGACGAACAAACCGCCGCTCAACGGCGGCAGCGGCGGCAGCAGGCCGCACCTGTCGTCGCCGCGCAGTCACCACAACAGACGGCTCTCGCCACAGGCTGTCGCGTTGCTGGGACTCGTGCTGGCAGGCAGCATGTGGGCGCTGCATCGCAACCGGTCGGACGTAGGGGCGGGGGCAGCGGCAGCAGACGCCTCTGGAGCGGAGCGGCAATACAACCTGCAGCAATTGGATGAGCCGCCACGCACGCTGAAGGCGCTGCCACGCAGCTCCCACAAGGCAAGTTCTGGTGGTGGCGGGGGCTGCGCTGCCCTCCGGGACTAGATGTCGGGACAGCAGCACTTGCTTCGTTGCCAGAGACGCCCCAGACCTGGCTTTGCTTGCACATGACATCGGGCTGGGAGTCATTGGCTGCCTGCGTGCTTGCCTGCCTGCTGAGCAGGTTTGTTGCGCAATGTCGACTGTACCTGTGCCTGCGCCTGTCCACCAGATCTGCCTCTGAGTTGCACTGCTTATCGGCGGCACAGGTACAAGCTGGTGAGTGACGTTGCTGAGTAGCCCTGATGCATTCTTGGTGTGTGCGACTGAGTTTACTGTGTTGGTTTTGTTGTGCAGGGGCATCGGCAGTGGTTGGCGGCTGCCAGCGTATGAAGGTATTGTCAATGCGGCAGCGGTTGTTCTGAGGGCGCCCCATGCATGTTGTCTGTGGTCCATGTTGTGCTGTCCGCTGGGTAGCGTGCGTGTAGCTTGCATGGGTTGCGAGCACTTTTCAAAATAGTGCAGCTTGTGCAGTGGCGTAGTCAGTCAGCAGCCCAGGCGCCTCCTACCATTTGGCCGCCACGGTTGGAGTACAACAAGGTTTGTGGCAGATACAGCGGGCAACTAGCAGGGTGTCTTGCACTGATCATCGGCGGAAACGGCTAAGTGATATTGCATTTGCTACAGAGTTGTACACGGCATTCCTTGTCAGCAAGGTTACACGTTCTTCTTGTCATTTCAAAATCGTTTAGAATGATCCAACTGCAGTGATCTGCTGGCCACTTATTTATTCAATCTGTATCTGTACTTGAAAAACGACCAAAGCTGAAACCCGCACTAGAATGGAGAGAGTTAGGAGGGGAGGGGACCGGCTGCTTCTTGATGGCAATGAAATAAAAGGTTAGTGGATCCTTGCTTGGCCGCAATGGAACTTGCCAGGCGCGTTTCCTGACCAGCCCAGGGGCAGACCACCACTGCCCATCACTAGCAAACACATGCACCTCAAACTTGTACTCCGCGGACTGGTCCATCTCAAAGGTCGCAGACGTCTGCGTGGGGCCCTGGCCACCGTAGAACACGCCATATCCAGGGAAGCGCTCGGAATCTTTCGCTGTGTGGCCCACAAAAGTACTGGAAGTGTCCGGGGTCCTGACGGCCGTGCCCCAGGTTGCAAGCGGCCCGGTCGTCTCGCAGTTGTGCATGGTCATGCGCTGCGCCTGAGACACCAGTTCGAGGTGCCTGCTCCTTGCAATGCTCATGTGGCCGGTGCGCGTCAAGGCGTCCAGGATGGCAAAGTCGACCGTGCTGTACAGCTCCAGGTGTTTGGTCACCAGGACATCGTACGCGTCGAAGTCCACTTGGCCGATGCGGGCCAGCGCCGCCACAACCAGCACCGGAGGCGCTAGCCAGATGAGATACTCCGCCTTCCTCAGGTTCTTCTCACGCGACCCAACAAGCCACCTTTGGATGTCGTACATCTCGCCGTCCCCATGCGGGACGGGGGCATCACGCCCTAGCGGCGGCGGGTCTCGCATGTAGTGGCGCTGTCCCCAGTGGCTCATATCTGAGAACGCCAAGAACTCGTCGCTGTCAGCACGTCGAATGCGAATCTGCGCGGCCTGGCGCAAGATTTTCTCAGGAATCCTGGCAACCTGCTCCATGCTAAACTCCACACCCTCGAGCGCCAATAGTGCAGCATCCAGTGTCGCGCTGTCCCCAAGCGCATCCAGCCACTCCAGGGGCTGGAGGAGCCGCACAACCTCCTCTGCATCTGGCGGGCATGTCGGACCAGCAAAACGCCCAGTATCGATGCCCCGCAGGCTCTGCACACAATCCTGTGGCCGCAAATTGCAAGGCGGCAAAATCTTCATGACATTGGAGCTCTGGTCAATCGCCATCATGGTCCTCAACAGCTGGCTGGTGACGGCGCGATCACGGTGCATCCAAATGGACTCAGGATCCCTGGTGAAAGGATCACTGATGGAGACGCAAATCATAATCGCATTGCGCAGGCTCTCAAACGCCAGCCTGCTGCCCAACCGCAGTGTCCAAAAGCATCCGGAAGTAAAGAAAGTGAGGCGCAGTGCCTCCAGATCACACCGGGGCTGGACTAGGTCAACAATGCGGGGCTCCTGCTCCTGCACAGCACAAGTTGCATAACATCATCAACATCATGCAAAGATATAAATTCAATGGAAGGCCACCCCTAAGGATCCCCACGTCCCCCACCACGTTGTGGGGGTTGCGTGTCCGGCAGGACGGGGAGCGGGGCCAGGGTGGGGTGACCCTGGGACGCTCAGCTGGGTGGAGGGTGGTCGGAGCCATGGAGAGGGTGCTCCATGCTCCACCCCCTCTCTTGATGCCCCTTGATCACGTGTGCCCCCTTCCCAAGGTCTGCTCACGCAGCCTATCATAGCGGGGTGACTGTAACACAGGACCACCACACCTGCATGCCATCCACTTTCAGTAGCAACTTGTCGCCTTCTCTGTAAATCTGCGGCTTGATGTCTGGGGCCATCTCCAACCACTTTTGGCGAGTTTTGCTGAACCTGAACAGCGCGGTGGGTAGCTGCAGGGTGAGGGGAAGCAACACAGCATGTCCAACCGCAATCAACAGCCACACGAGTCGGCAATTTCACTGCTGCGACTGGCACAAACAAGAGCATTCACCCGCAGCAAGTTCCAGTGATGCATGGAAAACGCAGGCCAGCAACAAGTGTCATATGCCCATCTCGACATGAGCATGATTGTGATTTGCAGGAAATCCCTGACAAGTTGCCATGGATGATATCTACTGTTGCAGTCTCTGCAACACCTGATGAGTATATGCCGTCTGAACAACAACTGCAATCAGTATGGAAATTGCAAGTATATGAGGACGGCCTGCACAGGTTTACAGAGGGCTAGTGGGAGAGTGAGTTGCCCTCATCTACAGTTGGACGCCCAGAAGCAGGAACAAATCATCGATGTCATGTCAATGGAACAGAGTTAGCCTGATGCAGACAAGTGCACTGTTGTGTTTTGCAAGCTAAGCTGAAGACACCTCACCGAATAAGCAAGAGTCGCCCACCTTCCTCGCCAGATGATCTTTGTGCAGGGTTAACTCGACTACCGAGGTGCAGAGACATCGATTGCGCGGCCCCAAAACGCAATGTGTACCGCAGACTTGGACTTGGCAGTCCCCGTCGTTTACTCGCAACCGCGGCCGTCCAGGCACTCGCTGCTCGATTTTAACACACCACGTACTCAAAATAACCGGGACCTGGTGAGTCAATGACAAACTCTACGAGTGTGCCCTCCTTTTAAGAATGCTTTGTGCAAATGCCTCTCAGTGCAAGCGATACCTGGTCGGCAACTGATATCCCTCATGCTACCTGGTGCTTTGCAGGGTTTCAGTGGCCCTGCCTCTCCGCTCCCCGACCCCGCTTCCTGGAACGCA